ACAGCATCAGGAAATCATCCTCAGTATAGAGCAGTATCTTATCACAAATGACATTCATTGAAAGCTAACACTACAGAGTAATAAAACGACTGATGGCCGATTTGTGTAAATTCAGAGTTGCAGAATAATAGAAGAGGAGAAGTCTGCAGACCTTCGAAAGCTTCTTTGAAGTTCTATATATGTGAAAATAAAAAATTAATACTGAAGGAGACCCTTATTTCACTAATGGTTGACTGAGAAGACTACTTGAATACCACCCATATCAACCAGTAGAACTTGTTAGCCAGATCGTGGTGACCTAAATACCGGACGGCCGTTTCGCTCGTTCAGAGTCGGAGCTCATCACCAGTGTACTTGGTTTGACTCAGGTCAGATCTGGCCAGCAAGCACTAGTGGTGTTATGCAACTACTCATACCCACCATTCAGTAGTATTTAGTTTCTCCACAAGTATGGCGGCTTTCTTCACTACCATTTATGGTATCAACCGAATCACATATTATGTGTGATTGGCATAACTTGGTTTCCAAAGCAAACTACGGTGAAATTTCAGCCCTGGAACGCTGTAGATTGCAAATGAGTAAATTCTAGTTTGAATTCTGGTTTGCGACTCAGTGTTTATTTCATGTAGTTATGAAATTGTCTAGGAGATTTCAGCGTATTCCTATCGGCTTAAAACTTCTCGAAACGGTTTCTTTGAATAAAATATTTGTCTGAACAAAGATTCTGATTCTGATTTGGGACTGTCTCGGTGCATTGTTTGGTGCTTGATTCTAGCTGATAAAGTTCCTGCTCCCACCTTGCTTGGAGTATTCTACTTGATTCTAAGTACTTATTCTCTACAAGAAAGTTCTCTTGACTCTACAACTGCCTAACTACACTGTTGAGGTAATTCTGAGTTATTGATGTTAGATTATTGTTGAATAGAACCACATGGATCTATCGACGAATAATCGTGATTTTTCTGTCTTTGGAATGTGTTTGTGATTGTGCACCTATCAAAGAAGTTTCCAACAGCTATACATAAGGATTCATGGACCACTACCCTGCGTTTAGACTACAACGAGTCGGTTTTGGTCATTATAAGGAGGTATGGGAATGATGCATCACCGTTACCAACGATATAGAAAATACTACAACAAATAAAATCAAAGGATAAGAAATATCGTAACTATATAAACAAAATTTGAAGGTTGTGTAAGCACCTCGATATGATTACGAGGAATAAATCATCCTTGAAACACTACCTTATTCAACAGCTGTACGACAACGGAACATGTCAAGTGATCAACAACGGAAAACTCAGCGAGGTGTTTGGAGTAAACACAGGAGTCAGACAAGGGTGCTTATTATCACCAATGATATTCCTAATTGTGGTGGACTGGATTATGAGTCAGATAGTAGGAAACGAGAATCTAGAAGACCTGGATTTCGCGGATGACTTATGTTTGATGTCACACAAAATCGAAGACTTACAAGCGAAAACCGACAAACTGGTCGAAGAAGCAGCAAAGGCAGGACTCCAGGTGAACATATACAAGACGGAGGTTGTGAAAATAAACAACCAACAACAACACCAGCAGCAATCACCATCAGCGGAGGGATTTGAAAGAGGTTACTTCATTCACTTATCTAGGGAGCATTGTCTCAACTACAGGAGGAACGGACGAGGATGTGAAATCGAGAATCGGGGAGGCGAGAAACACATTCATCAATCTGAAACCAATCTGGAAATCTCCGTCACTCAGCCTGCATCAACAACAAAATTCGGATTTTCAATACAAACGACGTCAAGTCAGTTCTTCTATACGGATCAGAAACTTGGCGGGTCACAAAGAATATTTCCAACAGCCTGTTGCAGACCTTTATCAACAACTATCTTCGTTCTATACTGAAGATCAGATGGCCGGAAAGAATCACCAACAAGAAACTATGGGAACAAACAAAACAAGAACCAATCGCCCAACAAATATGCAGGAGAAAGTGGAGATGGATTGGACACTGGCTGAGGAGGCCACTGGGTGACATTGCGCGTCAGGCCATAGCTCGAGTGGAACCCGAAAGGGAAGTGGCGATTAGGACGTCCATGGGTGACATGGAGGAGATCGTGTGAAGAGGAGTTGAAACAGTATGGATTAACATGGATCCGCATGAAAAAAAGACAATAGAAGACAGAAGCAAGTGGAGACGTGTAGTTGAAGCCCTATTTTCCACTAGGAACCCAAGGGAACAGTTATAATAATAATAGAAACAATACCAGTGAATCGATAGGACTGTACTACTCTGTGTTCTTCGTCAAATAAAATAATTTTTCATGGATTTCATGCGTATACTGGGCATTATATTCTTTGATGTTTTTTTTCTCAACTTTGTGGACAATTATCTGAATAATTTTCATAGCAATTTTGAAACCACACCCTTAATATTTTCAGTCGACTACAATTAAAACGTTTCACCCAATTTCGTCTGAATACTTTTAGTCGAAAAATTTTAAACGCAAGCGACGCTTTTTTTCTCTGCCTTTATGCAGTGAAAAGTGTGAATGAAATAAGTGTTCCGTTTTTGTCGCTAATTTTTCTAAAGTGAATATTCTATCTCACATAATAAAGAGACGAATGTATCAAAAAAGTGGTATGTAGGAGAAATGACTACTAGTGTATTACCAGAATGACAACAGAAAGCAGTCTCCATTTGGATAGATTAAGTTTAACAACATGAAGCGTTTGGGCACAAGTGTGTCTTGAGAGCTGACATAAGCGTATTATTATTCACTGAGGTTCCTAGTGGAACATGGGGATCCACTAGCACATCTTCGTTTAAGCCCGCCTTCAGAAAACTCTTTTTTGATAGCTGTATGATTCACTATTAGTTTTCATCTCCTCCTCACACGATCTTCTCCGTGTCACCCACAGGACCATTCGTCTTCCATTCAAAGACTGTCCTGGCACGTGGTGTTACTTGACAGTCTTTTCAGCGTATGTCCAGTCCATCTCCACTTTATTCGGCATATTTGTTGGTTGATTCGTCCCTAGAATTCCTTAGTGCTTATCCTCTCTGGCCATCTCATCTTCCGTATGGAGCCAGCGAAGGCAGCTGTTGATAAAAGTCTGCAGCTGCCTGTTCAAACTGCTTGTCGTGACCCTCAAAACAAGTTTCTAAACCATATGGAATAACTGACTGACTCAACCCTGGTGTTGAATATCCGATGTTTTTTGTTTATGCTGAGTGGAGAAGATTTCCAAACTGATTTCTAAATTATGAAAGACAGCTTTGCCTTTCCGAATCTGGTTTTGTCAACGGAATAGTTGACTGTTTTTCAAACTGCTGATATCTATGTGGCTTTAAGTTAGTTAAATAAGTGATATTCATCTTTCAGTTGAAGTAATACGATAGTAACAGTTTCACCTTTCGTGCATCAAAACATACTAATTTAGTTACTGAAAGTGTACAGTTTGTTTTTTTTAATTTTGTCATCAAAGCATATTTCATAGAGTTATTGTTAATCTCTGTACTTTTTCCTTCAACAGAACTACTCATCGTACTCACATTAAAAAGAAAGCCAGTGTCATTTAGTCTAGAAGAAGGTTCAATCTGTTAACTACTCCATAACTTCAGAAGAACCCTTTCTTATTCCACTCCACATTTCCACTTTTAAATCTCCAGTAATAACGTCAGCAACAGTTAGTTCAAGAATAGCATATGAAGCAAAAGTACTAATGATTATCAAATTAGCAGAGTTATTATTAAAATTCCATTCTCTTGCGTTCCCGGTGGGACACAGGGCCTAGCAGTGGTGGTATTTATATTTTATGGATTGCGATTGCTAGTCTCACGCCCAGTCTCCCCTCTTTATAGAGGTAACAGCCGGATAAGCGAGATTTAGTAATGCTTCGGCCGGGATCGAATCCGGGACCACTTGCTTGTTTGGCCATTGATCTAGCATTGAACCACTGAGCGTAAATAAGTGGAGTACAAACGTGAAATTGTATTTTTACTCACCAAACCAGGTAAAAAGGATTTATTAATCCCAAACACATCAAAGCAGAGATCACATATTCGGTTGCCACATCCTCTTTGAACACTTTACCGCATCAGTCCGGTTTGCAAATTATAAAGGACTTATCTTGCTGCAGTGCAATAAACATCACATCAAAACTTCTGAAGAATTTCTACACTAGTCACAACACTTAAGACACTTCAACAACACTAATGAGAAGTCGTTGGGGGAGTGAGGACAAATACTTGCCGATCACAATGGCCTGTGGTTGTGCTACATAAAGCGAATTGGTGGAAGTTAGAATTCGTAGGTTGACCATTGATTGAGTCGGGTCCTAGTGGTCGGTTGGTCTACGAGCTCGCCTTGTGAACGGAAGGTCCTGGATTCGAACCCCAGTGGATGCGCATTACTAATGAGCCCCAAGCACTCGGACAAAACAGCTGCTCAGTACTCCTTCTCTAACTGAGATCAATCCGCGGTCAAACTCATTGCATCATTTGTTGCTGTCATCAAGGCGTAAGAATTATAACGATATAGAACGATTTAGAAATGACAAAACATTATAAACGTTTACTGTTAACCAAATGGCTTCCTGCCATTTTTGTTAATATTATTTTAAATAAACTGATGCCACAAGTATTTATTTCAGTGCCGCCATATTTAAAATATTACCAAATGTACAGGAAAACAAAACTGAAACCTCTCCACCTATTTCATCATCACTATATCATTCACTCAAGGAAAACTTTCAGTGTCCATTTTACAGATTCCTTAAAGTATCGGGAATACAAGTGACAAACTATCACATATAAATAACATTAGATAAGCGAGATTGAAACGGATAAACTTTTGGGTGCAATTTTAAGCACCAGATAAAAGATAACTCTGGTGTGATGAATTTATTTAACGCCCTTTTTTGGCATGATATCTTTCTTTCAAAGTGAAAATAGACACTGACATCCATCCCTTAGCTTAACTTCATTTTTTTTTCTCCTGTCATTACAGCTACAAATTTATGCATTTAACAGTGATTTATATCACAATTTTTCATATGCATCTCATCGTCCAAATGGAATATTAGCCGTCAGTGTCTTTTTCAAAGTAAGTTAAAATCAAAATTGTGCATTTTATCTATCCATTTATTCTTTGCAAATATTTTAATGTTAGATAGAAGATACAAGCTGTTGAATAATCATGATTTTGCATTTTGTGTCAAATTATTTAATCGTACAGATAAAATTGAAATACGTGTCAAAAACAGTAAATAGTGCGATAAAGTATTTACATTATTTAATATTTGTTATCACCTTACACAGGTCAACAATCGCACTTCTTAGTGAGGTCATTTCAATGACCATATTATCGCTCGATACTATATTATTATTAGTATTATTTCACTAGGTTCCGAGGGGAATATGGAGCTGCAAAAGAACATCTTCATTTTGTTCTGTTCTCTGCAATCCTCTTTAGTTGGCCCTAAGACTGCCCACAGACTTCTATCTCCTTCTCCTCCTCCTCACAAGATCTCCTTCATGTCACCCTTGAACTCACGCCTAACTCGTCATTTCCTATTCAGATTCCACTCGAACCATGGCTTGGCATGCTATATCATCTAGCAATCTCTTCAGAGTGTTTCCGATTCATCTATATTCTATTCAGGATATCTATTGAGAATTGGGATGTTAGAAATGCTTTCGGTGACGCGCCGAGTCCTTAAACAAAACAAAAGTGACTGATCTTTTATTTCGTTGCCTTCTCGTCAGCTGCTTACAGGGCAAAGACATTATTAAATTTATCTACAAAAACAATTTTAACATACTTGCACAGAGTTCATTTTAAACAAAAATTAATCGATCAATATACACATACACTAATAATATATACATATATATATATATATGTAATAATAAACACTATTCCGAACAACAACAATAATCATACACAATGGAAACTTTTCAGCATTTCGCATTCGGATGAAAGAGAGCTGAAAAATATCCAGTTACCATGGCAAAGAAAGACTGATAACCGCTTCTTTCTGAACGCATAAATCAGGTTTCAGGCGCTTGATAGAAATGGCTTCATCAAACTTAAGGAGAGTTGAGCTCTTTTGCTGACTGATAATTTCGAACGACTTTTCGACGTCCACCTCATGAGCCATGTCGAGGAGATACCTGGCGATTGTACTGTTTAGAGCATTTGTTCCCTTTAGACGTAAGCTTTTAGGGCACCTCCTCGACACGGGTCATCAGGTGGACGTCGAAAAGTAGTTCAGAATTACCAGTAAGCAAAAGAGCTCAATTCTCCTCAAGTTTGCTGAAGCCATTTCCATCAAGCAACTGAAACCTGAGTTATGCGTCCAGAAAGCAGCGGTTATCAGTCTTTCTTTGCCCTGGTAACTGGATATTTTTCAGCTCTCTTTCATCTGAATACGAAATGCTGAAAAGTTTCCATTGTGTATGATTATTGTTGTTGTTCGGAATAGTGTTTATTATTACATATATATATATATATGTATATATTATTAGTGTATGTGTATATTGATCGATTAATTTTTGTTTAAAATGAACTCTGTGCAAGTATGTTAAAATTGTTTTTGTAGATAAATTTAATAATGTCTTTGCCCTGTAAGCAGCTGACGAGAAGGCAACGAAATAAAAGATGGTAGCATTTTATTCTGCTAAAACTGTAGTTCTCGCTTTGTTCAAATTCATTAAGGGGAATAAATGTATGAAAAGTGACTGACTTAACATTGGTGTTTAAAATTCAGTTGGTTTTCTTTATGTTTAGTTCAGCAGATTTTCACACTGATTTCCGACCCTGACTTTGATGCCCTCATCCGAGTAGACCGTCGGTGAAATCATACTTCCCAGATAAGTGAGAGAAGCGACCCACTGATAGTGACTAATGCTGGTTGTTTATCTTCATCATCACTGCTCTCTTGAAGTTAAATTAAAGCTTCGTCTCCACTGTTTTTTCTACAAAACTACATAGCGCTGAATAATTACCTCATTAAAGTCTAGAATTCTCCGAAGATCATTAACTCATTATTACTAATTCGTATGATATTCTATACGTTCATATTATCTAACGCGCTACTGATTCGATTTAATGTAGGTGTCCAACATATAGAAGCTTCGATCTCCTAGCTTGGAACAGCTGAATGTCTGAAAAACAAGTGACACATCTACCGTTTTCTCTGTGACATTCAGCTGTTCTTTATGCGAGTTCCTTTGACAGCTGGAAGTCACATATTAGAATAATCTTTATAATTCTCCCTTCATTTCAATTAAATTAAAAACTACCCTGATGAATAACAGCTAAAGAATAAATAGCCATGATAATTAAATGTTTTTCAATCTCATAAACCAACTGTTTTTCTCTTTTTGTGTACCATAGATTGGAAATATGACAAACAAAGATCTGCTGGGTGTTGTGGCTGCAGCTGAGCAAACAATTTTTAAAGGTAATTCTTTTTTGCATTCTAAGGCTGTGTAGTATAGAAGAAGTGAAGTGATTTGATGAGTGACTTTTCTTTCTTTCTGTCTACAAAACACATTTTCTTTTTGTTATTTTTCCACCTGCTTAGTTGTTAATTGGTAAAACAGACATTTATTTATAACTGTTATTAGTCAGCATCGTGAATATTTTTCAATACACACTACATAAACACTTCATTTTCAGTTGTCTAAGCACCTATAAGGCAATTCAGAACTGAGTATATCTTACTTAAGCATTTTTAAGCCTGTATTTACTAGATTGACAAAGTTATAAGTGGAAATATTACAAAAAAAGATTAAGTATAATATATTTATACATAAATATATGTATCTGTGTAATAGATGGTTGGAGGCAACCAGAAGGAAGCCTTTCACCTACATTTCGTGTTTCTTAGCACCCCCCCCCCAGTCAGAAAGGCATATCTGCACTCTTCAAGTAATTCAGTTTTCTCTTGAGATTCCAACCCGTGTCACCCAGTGAGTCCTGCAGTCATAGACGTTAACCCTGAGTTATTCAGGCTTGCGACTGACTTCATGCAGGACTGTATTAGCTACTCTGATTAGTGGTCACTAGTGTCATGCGCCTAGTATTTGGTGTCGGTGCAGAATGAATTCTATCAGTCAATGTTTCTAATGAGTCCCTTCAAGGTTGTGGATACTCCTTTCTGACTGCTATGAGTGTCAACAAGCTCGAAATCCGGGTTGAAGGCTTCCTGCTGATTGCCTCCAACTAGCAAGTAACAACAATTCACAGTGCATCATAATGTTGAGCCATAAGAAATTCGCGATTAAATAGCCTGTACATTCAGTCTTATCTGAATTCTTAAGGTATTATTATCATTCCTTTGGATTGCAAGAGGAACATAGTGAATGTTTATTTCACTCTGTTCTCAGCAGTCTTTTTCAGCTGGCTCTACGATTTCCCGTGAGCTCTCATCTGTTCACACAAACTCCTTCGCGTCACTCTCGGACCCACAACCAACTCGTCGTTTCGCATTCAGGTTCAATTTGAGGGCCTGGCATATGATGTCACTCAGCATATTTCCACTCCATCTTCATTCCCGGCTGCATATTTCCTGGGCATTACAATCCTGGTTTATTCGTTCCCAAAGTTCATTGTTGTCTAACCTTTCTGGCTATCTGATCTTCAATATGAAGACAGCGAAGGTAGCTGTTTGTTGAAAACCTGCACCAGCCTGTTGGAAACGTTTTTCGTGACGTCCAAAGTTTGTGACCCATATAAAAGAACTGACTGATTGATTGACCTAACAATGGTGTTGAAAATCCAAATTTTGCTCTTAAGTCTGGATGCAAAATATTTCCAGACTGACTTCAGAGTGATGAAGGTCTCTCTTGCCTTTCCAACCGCGAATAGTTTTGATATCCTCATCTGTGCTGTAGCCTGTCGTTCAAATGATGCCATCTAGATAAGTGAGGGAAGTGCCCTCCAGTATTGAGCGAATTTTAAAGGTGCTACTACCTCATAAGATGTTCACATGGAATTTGCGTCAAAATCAAATCTCAAGATGAGATAATTAAGAAGGATAGTTTTAACAATGCTCATCTTAAATACGGAAGTGTAGAACACTTCGAGGTTCTTAAACAAGGATATCACAACATATCATATTATAAAGAAATTAGCCTATCACAATAAAGAGAATACACTTATTCCCCATCTTCTTAGTTCTTAACATACTTTATATTTGGTTGCAGGATTTCATCATGAGCTGACATCTGTTAGAGAACCATTGGAAAACCTGAGAGTACTGAACAGCTGTTTCGTTCCAGTTTGGGACTCTTCAGTAGTACACACCCACCTCGTAACCAGAAGGTCCTGGGTTGGAACCCTGGTGGCTGCACAATGCCGAAGAGTCTCCAACTAGGACGAAACAGCTTTCCAGTACTCCCAGGTTTTCCAATGGTTCTCTAACTGGTATCACCTCATGATGAAACCCTCCAACCAACCAAACACAATCCCTACAAACCAATACTTGAAAATACTTTATATCTGTTCGTTAACTATTAATTTTACTTTCCCTGTTCTACTTTATTTCATATACATATCACCTTTATTCTACCATATTCAGTCTCCAACAGCTACATAATTTAAGAAATCAAATAAATCAGATAGTCAAGGAGTCAACAAGTACTGTACTCGCACTCTATTCGTTATCACCTTCTTTAATTAGTCAATAAAATATCCCATCTATCGCCATTTATGACATGTCTGTAAATTATATTTACGAGCCGAAAACATTCTATGATGTCACCTTAAAAATTTGTGAATTCCAAAATTAAAACTACTAACTGTCATAAAAGTAATATAGGCATGTTGACGTCAAATAATATTTACTATTGGAATTATAGAAGAAAAACGAATACTGAGAATTTCATTTTAGTGACAGATAATACTGTCACAGTTATAATTTTACATGAACGGATGACGAAGGCTTTTTCGTAGGACCGTTTTAAATTGAAACGATACGATGAGTGAATGCTTGCATCTGTATGAGTAAAGTTAAATCCTCACAGTATTGACCTAAATAAACTTTATTAATGAGCTTAAGTCTCCCAGAAACCTGTATTGCTATTATTATTGTTTCCTTTAGTTCCTAGAGGAACACAGGGCTTCAGTCTCACGTCTCCACTGCGTTCAGTTCTCTGCCAACTTTTCACCTGGCTCCACGTCTGCCTACATGCTTTCGTCTCCTCTTCGCACGACCTCTTCCATGTCACCCTCGCACTGACGACGGAATCGCCGCTTCCCGTTCGGGTTCCACTCAATAGACAGCCTGGCTTGTGATGTCACTTGATGGTTCTCTCAGAGTATGGCCAATCCTCAGAAATTTGTTTTATCTCAAAAATTTAAATTAGATTCGTATGGTAGCTGAAGATTCCGTCTTACCTTCTACATCAAGAAGTTAAGACATTCTGGAATAACCCAACCCTTACTCCTACAATTCGTTAATTCTCGCATTCCCCCTATTATTCTCTATTGTTCCCCCTTAGTTTTTCCCGGGCTACTGAAGAAAGACTATACCTTATTACGCAGGATGTTAAAGGTTGTCAGCAGGGTAAGCAGCGTGCCACTTAACCAGCCTGTTAATATTCTGGTTGACAGGCACATGGACTCATGTAAAAAATGGGCTAAATTCATTCTATCTAACTCACACCACTCTCTTCACTCACAACTCTCCCCTTGTATCTCAGCAGGCAAAACCAGAAGCCTATATAGAAAACTATATGCTCGCACCAGCAAGTACAAAAACTCAACCATACCCTACTCAGCTCGTGTTCTGTGTGATAAAGAAAGCATTAGGCATGACATCCATAATTCATTAAATAGTCAGTAGAACAACTGGACCTCGTCTTTCCAACTCACATCATCAATAGGTACAACATTTTCTTTTTTTCTTTTCCTTTTCTCTCTCTTCTTTTTCCGTTATGTGCTGCTTTGTTTCTTTCTCTCGCTTACGCCAGTTAATAAGACAGCTCCCACTTTTCTAACACCTTCAAACACTGTTTCAGCTTTACCTTTGCTACTGACATGCCAATGTATTGTTGTAATAATGAACTGTGGTTTCCTCAATTCTATGTAGAATTCTATTTATTGATAATGTACTAACTGGATGCAATACTGTAGTAAAAATGCTGAGAATTCCATTCTGTATCACATGTACTGTTTTGGAATAAAGCAAATTATTATTATTATTACATCACATAGTGTTTTCCTGCCGTAAAATTCAATATCAGACAAAGATTTCAGTAGAAAAATTCTCCTGAGGAAAATTGGTATTTTCTTGGCCACCATATCCACGTCTAAGTTTTGAAAGATAAAATACAAAATCTCAGAAGAAGAGGAATAATCATGCTACATTATCAACACAGGATTGCACTCAAAGTGTCTGTTAAATGAAAGTGTAGAATATGACCCAAATGTTTCTCATATTACCAGTTAATTATCATTACCTACTACCTTCATCCGATCATTCATACTGATTATCTTACAACATGTGCATCGATAGTTCAGTGGTAGAATGTTCACTAACCATGCACCCGGTTTGGGACTCGACTCCAGGCCGGCTCACACCTTTACATCCCTTAGCTAGCTAGTTGTTAGCCCGATAAAAACGGAAGGTTGGCGGTGAGGCAAGCAACCCCACCTCGTGAAAAATAAACGCCCCAGCTTCTGAAACTTCAGAGCTCAAGGCTGGAACCCCGTGTTCCACATGGAAGGCAAGGGGATTAAATAAAGTTAAAAAACTCAACATTATACGCTCCAATGTAGGGACTTGATTGAATTAAAGTTAGATTCCATTACAAATCAAAATTACTGAAAGAATCATTGAAAATTAAGGATTACAGAACAACTATTTCGTTCCAGTTTTGAAAATTGGCTAGCGGTGATGGCATACATTGCATTTGGACAAGATTTAAAATTTGTGGTTCACTAGATTCCATTATATTGGTCTGAATTATCCCATGCTCTTCTTGTAATCTGAAGATTGTTGTTCTATATATGTGGTGAAGTCTTGAGAAATTACTACTGAAAAGTCGTCTGTCCAGTGCTTCCTAGTAATCACTGGTTCTCTATATGACATCGGCTCTTCACCTGTTGTTACTTATTCGCATCTGTCCAGACTTTTAAAAACGATTATCTCAGAAGTGAAATAATACAGAAAAAACATCTCAACATTCACCCTCCAATGACTACTCGATAATTTCTGACTTACTGAATCAGCTTTCGACGCCATATCTAAAAGAGTAGAACTTAGGAGCCGTGGTAGAGTCATCCTCATATATCCATGATCATATCATTTATAAGAGTATCTTTAGGCTGAACCATGACTACTGAAGATGCATTTACATATCATGCGTTTATTATGACGTTCAAGAACAGCTGTGAAGGAATAAAATCCCTCCACGAAAGTGATAGTTAAGCAAGTTTTAACCCATTTTTGCGCTG